GGGCAACAGAGTGAGACCCTATCTCAATAAAATAAAATCAGCTATTGATATTAGGTTTCTTAAAAGTGTTACTGATGTTAGGCTAAAATTCTACGATGGTTTCAAAGGAACTGTAATTTTTATAGCATTTGGGTTTCCTATATAAGGATCTTCTTTTATATCGCATTACACACTTTCCATGTGGGTTCTACTCATTTCTTGTAAAACTTATTCCCAGGTATTTCATAATTTTTATTGATACTGTGAAATGTGTTTGCCTTTTATAAAACAAAAGAAAAAAATAACCTTTCCCTTAACCATTCTTATTTTCCCTGGAATAAAGCAAGAATAAACATCCATCAAATTTCTATTTTTATATTGTCATAGAAATTGAACCACAGAGGCAGGTTACATAAGAAAACTATAAAATTTTTAGGAGTTTAGAGTATACAATTATTCCTTCTGTTACAATAATAAATATTGTGCCTAGTATTAAGAAATTCTTGGCTTATGTGTATGTATATCTTGAATATAATTACATTTTTTTTATTCCAAAGTAGAAAATAATTTAGAGTAAATGCTTTCTGAAAAGAATACAAATCCACCTAAGACATCTATGCAAACTTAGCTTAATTGCTGAATTACCATCAACTTGCTAAGGTAGTAGTCACCTGTGCTGAAATGTAGACATGAGCATGAATATGAAACATAACATTTGAGGCCAGGCGTGGTGGCTCACGCCTGTAACCCCAGCACTTTGGGAGGCTGAGACAGGCAGATCACTTGAGGTCAGGAGTTCAAGATCAGCCTGGCCATCATGGTGAAACACCTTCTCTACTAATAATACAAAAATTAGCCGTGCGTGGTGACACATGCCTATAGTTTCAGCTACTCGGAAGGTTGACAATCGCTTGAGACCAGGAAACAAAGGTTGCAGTGAGCCAAGATCGCTCCACTACACACCAGCCTGGGCAACAGAGTGAGATTCCACCTCCAAAAAAAAGAAAAGAAAGAAAGAAAGAAACACAACATTTGAAATTCACTGTGCAGTGTGTAATGCAAAGAAAACGCTATTTTAAGTCAAAGCTAGAAAAAGTAAATGTATAGTATTTGCTCTTTATAGGTTTAACATTTTTGTAACTGACACCAACATGGGGAAAAATAAAGGTTCTGTTAAGACGAGAAACAGCTACCATTTTCAGAAAGTATCCATGGTTTTTTTATGTGAAACTTAGAGGGGTCTCATGAAGGCTAACATATGATAAATGAAGGTGCTTATTGGAAGGAAGCAGAGGAAAGAGTAATTTGAAAAAATAGCATGAGATTTTTAGGCAGGTTTTATATCTTGAAAAAAAAAAGGATAGCAAGATATGATAGATTCCTAATAACCCATCTCAGTGTCTGAGGCCCTCGTTGAACATAATATAATTTATCACGAATACCCCAAACAATTCTTGCTTCAGAATCACCCATTCCTTATGTTTCCCGTGTCACAGTAGTGAAGCACCTAGCTTATTTTAATGGTCCATATATAATGAGTCACTCCCTCAGTCTTGCTTCAATACCACCACCGTTTTGTCTTCTTGTGTGTTTCCAACGAACAAATAAGTTTGCAAAGGCAAGAAGAATGCAAATAGAGTTCCTCCTCTTCCTGTAGTTTTAAGTTGACTGCAAATTGTCTCACTATAAGTTTGAAAGGCAGCATATATAATAGCTTATTGTACATTTTGGCATTTAAAATACAACTGTTACACCATTCTTTTTTTATTTTTATTTTTTTGGAGATGGAGTCTCACTCTGTAGCCCAGGCTGGAGTGCAGTGGTGCGATCCTGGCTCACTGCAACCTCCGCCTACCGGGTTCAAGCGATTCTCCTGCCTCAGTCTCCCAAGTAGCTGGGATTACAGGCATGCACCAACTGTACCCGGCTAATTTTTGTATTTTTAGTAGAGATGGGGTTTCACCATGTTGGCCAGGCTGGTGGTATCGAACTGCTGACCTCAAATGATGCGCCTGCCTCGGCCTCCCAAAGTGCTGAGATTACAAGTGTCAGCCGCTGTGCCGGGCCTACACAATTATTTTAAATAGAAATGCTGCTTGCCTTATGAAGGTGTTATGTCCGAATAAACCTATCACACGTTGAAAATATCCTAGGTCAAACGTGCATTTTACGTACCTACCCTCACAGACACCATGGCTTAGCCTAGCCTATATTAAGCATGCTCCGAACGCTAGTATCAGCCTACAAATGGGCAAAATCATCTAACACAAAGCCTGCTTTACAATAAACTGTTGAATATATCATGTGACTTACTAAATACTATACTTAAAGTAAAAAACAGAAGGGTTTCTCACCTACGTCAAGTCAAAAACTTGTTAAGTTGAACCATCGTTAAGTTGGGGACTCTCTGTATATTCGATAAAATGCAAATAATCGTTTTCAGACCCATATTATCCATTTAAAAATCAAAAGAATTCTTTAATAGTGGGAACTTGCATATTATTCTGTCTTACTCTTGCACCCCCGAGAGAGAGTTCCACAGGAAGACTCAGATACCGGACAGGTGTGCTTTCTCCTGGGATGGAGGAGAAATCACTATTACGGGTGGTCGGAGAAGAGAAACGGCTTGGTGCCTACACAAAGGCATGTACTCGGGGAATTCAATTTCAGAAAACACCCATGTGGAAACTGAAGATCTAGGAAACAATTCCTTTCCCACTATCCAAGGCGTGTAGCCTGGCTGCCAGGCCACTGCCACACATTATCCACATCGTGCCCTGCTTCTTCTTAGGAAGAACAATCTGGGTTCTTTGAAACCCTATTCCTTTCTTTCGGGGGCACACAAAGCACGATATAATTTAATTTTTATGAGACCCCTCATAAAAATGAGGGTGAGGTGGGCTTTATTATACTCATTTTTCAGATGGAAAAAGATCAACATGCTTAGACAACTTGTCCAAAGTCACAACGGTAAGCTGAAGAGCAAGTCCCTGAACTCCAGTCATCTGTCATCAGCCACTACTCAAACACGGTTCTCAATTCTAAGTTTTTCGTTTTTGCTTTCTTACACCCCTTCTAACAAACCAAGCCTTGCGATATCACATGGTAATAATGTATAGTGCTGCCTACAATCATTAGAGCCTTAAATGCTCACAATACTCCAAATGAAGAGGGATCTTTCCCGTTTTGCAAATGCTTACGGTACTCTCTTTACACTTATGGCAGGGCTCATGGGCCACCTGCCCAAAGTGATACCACCACTGCTCAGGTGCAGTGGAGCTGGATTCCGCCAGTCCTGGGATTCAGGACTGTTTGATTTCAACATGCTATGATCTACTATGATAAATTTCTCCCTGAGTGTAGATCCTCCGACAGGGTAGGCCCGATAATGTAAGCAGTCACACACTCACTTGTCTAAAGCGTGGGTGGGTGATGGGAATGGGCAGAGCAAGTGAGGTGCGACAAGGGAGGGGGCTGCCAGAGAGCACCGAGGAGAACCAGGGAGTGTCCGTGCCTTTGCTGGGGGCCGCTCTGCTCAGCCACCTGCTCCTGACTGGGGCTGCAGACCAGGCAGCCAGGCCTTCTGACTGGTCTACAGAGGCTGGGAAGCAAGGTTTTTACAGAAAATCTTACAACTGTCAAATGTTGGCAGCCAATAAAAAAATATGCTGTGGCTCACTCCTATAATCTTAGCAATTTGGGAGGCCAATGCAGGCAGATCACCTGAGGTCAGGAGTTCGAGACCAGCCTGGTCAACATGGTGAAACCCCGTCTCTGCTAAAAATACAAAAATTAGCCAGGCTTGGTGGCTCACACCTGTAGTCCCAGCTACTCAGGAGGCTGAGGCAGAAGGATCGTCTGAAGCCAGGAGGTGGAGGTTGCAGTGAGCCAAGATCATGCCACTGCATTCCAGCGTGGGCAACAAGAGTGAAACTCCATCTCAAAAAAAAAAAAAAAAAAAAAAAAAAAGAGAAAAAAAAATGCTGTACGCATTCCCACATATATTTTTAATTGATTTTTAAAATACAAACACACACACAACTGACACATACATAAATTCTGGGCAGGCTGAGTGTGGTTCCACATATCACAACCTCAGAGGTAAAGAGAGTGAGTGGGTGGGCTATTCCCCATTTTGAGAAGCTTATTAGTCCACTTATAATGCCTCTGTACAGCCCGTTCTTTACTTCATCTGAAGAAGAACACGGCATCACTGACTTTGCTAATGGTGAGGCCTCCTGGACTTTTCTGGCATGCCAGTTCTCCATCCTGCATGGAACTGCAGCACCTAATATTATCATCCTCACAAAGTATAGCCCTGAAAAGCTCCAAAGCGTGGTAAGACCCTGAGGCTCCAAAGGCTGTGCCACTTCCTCCAGGTGAATCCTCACCTCAGTCTTATCCTGATCTCGTGCTCTGCCCCAGGTTCAGGCCCTCTGTCCCCATATCATGTCCACCCCATGTGCATCAGATCCCTGGTGCCTGGCACAGTGCCGGGCACATGGCAGGACTTCAACATATACTGCTTTTTTGCTGCTGAATATAGAGGCTGTACTCATGCCCATTCTCTATGATTCCATCCGTCCCTATCTCCACTTGAAAGCAGCTAGGAAAGATTTTCGATGACTACTAGAGCTCTAGCTACCAAACTAAAGATCTGTTTAAACATTTGTGCCTAGATAGGAACGATACTTGTGGATGGGGCTGTTGCCCTTGGAAAGTAAATGTATCATACTAAAGCTGTTACTGGCATTGCTCTGTAACCATAGCTTTTTGTTGCCTGACAATTTCACTAACGGGCTTACTTTTACAAATATAATGATAGACTTTCTAGGTGTAAACACAACCTATAGGAGAACAGCAAATCACATTCTAATTACATATTCAAATCTATTCATTTAATCTTGAATGCATTAGAAATTCCATCCAGTATTTTCACTCATTGTGCTATGATGGCCAATAAGGCAAGTATTCCAAACACATCGACTGAAATGGGATCTTATTTTCAAGCGATCAATTACTTATATTCGCTGCTGTAGGTGGTGAGCTCGCGGCCATTGCGCATCCACTTGAACTCCAAAGGCCAGCTCCCTTCGGCCAGGCAGGTGAGAACAAGGCGGTTCCCTTCCAGGTGGATCTGTGGCAGGCCTGGCTCCGTTTTAAAATACGGAGCAACGTCATCTGAAATATTAAAAAACAAAACAAAAACAAAACTGAAGTGCGCGTGAAAGTGGCACTCATCTAATTAATAAACCTATTATTTAAACAAACCTAATATTAAAATGAATATGTGATGGCTATTTGGCCCAATTAAGAAGTAAATAATCCTTTACCCCCTGGAAACATGCAATACCCCAGATAATATTTCAAAAAGCTGAAAGCTCAATGATACCCGCATTTGAAAGCATCTGACAGGTTCATCCAAGTTATTTCCACTTATGGTGAACAGCTTATTGAAGGGACACGTCGGAAAAATCCCTGTACATACAAGCCTTTGGTTTTAACTAGGCAATCTGTTTGCGAGAAAACAGTCAAGTGTATGCGAGCTATAAAAGCGAAGTTACCTCTATAACCCTCAATTGGTTTAAAAAAAGTAGGATAAGCAACATTAACATACATGCATAAAGGACATGAATCACAATCTAGCTTTCCTTTCATACACACACAGAAATGGTCTCTTCCGGTGACTTTCAATGGGATGCAACACAGGAAACTCGTGGTATATTCACATAATGGAACAGCGCACGGCAGCGAGAATGGAGCAACAATCGCTACACACAGCAACATGGGTAAATCCCACACACATCAAGTCGAGCGAAAGAAGCCAGACAGAATTTTCAAAAAAGCTGATAGCATGTGCCACTATTCAAAAGCTCATAAAAGTTCAGAGCCAGGTAAAACTGATCTATGGTGTCAGAGGTTAAGGATAAGGGTTACCTCTGAGGGACAGGATAGCGAAGGGGGTGAAGGGAATGGGATGGCTTATGAAAAGCAGGTCAAAATGTATTTCCTGATATGGTTACAAAGGCACATTTACTTTGTGAAAATGGATAGAATCCTAGATATGTCCAGTTTTTGTAGATCTGTTTCAATGATGTTTTTTAATATGGATGCAGCACACTTGGCTTCTAGCTCTAGAGTCACTAATTAACTACATGATCCTCATCAGGACTTACAGGTTTTTGTTTCTTCATCAGCACAATAAACTGGATTATATGACTCCTCATTTTTCTACAAAAGTCCCCAAGATCCACCTGCATAATCAGCTTTCTAACTTTCATTCAGGCCTCCTCCCGTCTCTGCTCACACAGAGCACTCCAGGCACACTTCACTTCTTGCACATTTAAACCAAAGCCACGCTCTTTCCCAGAGTTGTGGTCTGAATGTCCCCTCCAAAACTCAGATGAAATGTGATGGCCATTATAACTGCAATAAGAGGCAGGACCTTGAAGATATGATTAGGTCATGGAGGCTCTACCTTCAGGAATGGATTAATGCTGATACTGTGGGACAGGGTTAGTTATCAAGGGAGTGGGGTCCTCATAAAAAGGACAAGTTGGGTCCCCATTCTCTTTCTGTCTCATGCACTCCCTTGACAGGATGATATAGCACAAAGGGCCTCCCCAGATGCACTGCTATGTTGTTGAACTTCCCAGCCTCTAGAACCATGAGTCAAATACACTTATATCATTTTTGAATTACCCAGTCTGTTACAGCAGCAGAAAATGGACTGAGACACCTACTGTAGGGCCTTCGCACTTGGTCTTTCCTCCACCTAGGATGCTCTGTGCGTGCTGATCTTTTCTCATCCTTCAGGTTAACTAAAGCTCCTCCCGCACAATATGCCCTAACAAGTCATTATGTTTATTCCATTCACAATACTTATCAGATTCTGAAATTAAAGTGTTTGTAGGTTACTCTGCATTACATTAGTCTTGATCACTTCTGAATTCCTAGCACCTAGAACAATGTCAGGAACTAAGGAGATATTTAATAAATATTTGTTGAATGAATAAATATAATAACACAAACATCAGCAATCGCTGGTACTTATTATTTACTATGTGCTGGAAACCATTCTAAATGCTATCTATCTATCTATCTATCTATCTATCTAAACTTATTTCTCACAAAAGCTCTACAAAATAGACATCATCATTATACCCATTTTAAGGATGAATAAACAGAAGCATGGAGAAGTTAAATAACTTGCTCAACACTACTCAGCCAGTAGGCAGTGAAGTCATGATTTAAATCCAGATAATCTAGCTCCAGAATCAACCAATTCTATACATTTTGACTCCAAGTGTCACATATTTCTTAATACGGAAAATTTCTTTTCAAGAATTCATACCCAACTTTAAATTTTGGTAATTTATTTGTGACATTACAAAGCTGTTCTTATAAATTACTGTACATTTAATAAACATCAAATAGCATATTAGAAATGTTAACATTGAAACTAGTTGCACATTAAACTACAAGGCATAAACTGAATATATAGAATTTAAATATAAATATATAGGTTATTTTGTCATTTTGTGATCACTATATTCCATCATAATTGGTATATTAGTAATACAATATTACCAACCTCTCACAAGTATTTATTCATTTATTCATTCAAATAAATAAATATTAAATTGCATTTATGAGTATAGCAAGAACTTACAGTAGGAGATTTAACCTAGTCAATGAGATGAAATGCAGGAGCTGAGAACAAAAAGGTTGGCAGCACTCAAAACACTTAAATAGGTCCTCTGGTAGGAGCAAACGTGGCAAGTACCCTTGGACAGTATGAAGGACTGAACAGCAAGCCTTGCCGCAGGTGCAAAGAGAGTGACTGGAAGGGGGATGAGCAGGGCCAGGTTGTGCAGGGCCTTGCAAGTAGGGCAAGCCCATGTTCTGGTTCCCATCCCATCCTTGCATGATTATCTATGGTGCCCACCTCATATTCAAGTGTTTGAGTATTAATAACATGTGTGATCACCCTATTTATAACCTTGTAGAAAGTACTGTCAAGATAATGATGATGATGATGATGATGATGATGATGATGATGGTTAGCTCTTACTACAAAAGGACAGCCAGTTGTGGTGGCTCATGCCTATAATCCCAACACTTTGGGAGGCTGAGGCAGAAGGATTGCTTGAGCTCCAGAGTGCAAGACCAGCCTGGACAACACAGTGAGACCCCATCTCCACAAAAATTTTTTTAAAAATTAACCAGTGTGGTGGTATGTACCTGCAGTCCCAGCTACGAAGGGGGCTGAGGTGGAAGGATTACTTGAGCCTAGGAAGTCAAGGCTGCAGTGAGCCGTGATTGTGCCACTGCACTCCAGCCTGGCAGCCTGGGTGACAGACCAAGACCCTGTCTCAAAAAGAAAAAAAAAAAAAAGACAGCAAAAAGTCTTTGAAGAGGTTGTATGACTGTGTTGTTAAAAGAACATTCTGGCTGTTATGTGAGAAGAAATAAAAGAGGGAGTGGAGTAGTGGGAGGACACCAGTCCAGAGGCCACTGCAGTGATCTGCTTTAAAACAATAGTTAGGTGGTAAAAAAGATTCAGTGATAGATTGGTTATGGATGTGAGGGAGAGGGAGATGTCAAGAAGGATTCTTATGTCTCTGACTTGTACATCTTTCTGTTCAATAAACATGCATTGATTCTAGGAACCAGCCTCTGTAATCAGCATTGGGTATACAAAGTGTAAGACACAGTCGCTGTCCCTTAAGAGCTTATAATCTAGGACTGATGCAGGAATATAAGTAGTAAAGTGTTAGATGCTGTGATAGCACATGTAACTCAAAGTCAGGAGTAGTCAAGCCTTGTCCTGTTCCAAGAGTTCCACCTGATTCTGCTGCACCTGACATGTGCTAAGCTGTATTTCAAGTGCATTCTTAAATTTGATTGTAGCCATGTGTCCAATTTCCCTTTTTGTTATGTACTTCAGCTAAAATCATCTCCTCTTATGACCCAAACAGTCTAATAAAGCTGAACTGCAATGAAGGTGGCCTTGATCCTGTGGGATTTACTGAGCTACAGGCTTTATTAATGTCTTGCCATTTGCACTCTGTTTAACAATAGAAAAAGAAATGCCACTTTATATGGTTCTAGTGTCCTACATGAATGAGTCATTAAAAAAAATACATCTTTTTTGAAAGGGAAAAGCTTCAAGATAGAAGCTCAAAAATTTGGTTTTGGTTTTGGTTTTGCAATTTCGTTTTGCAATTGATAGACCATCATCAATTTAATATAGTATACAATGGATTTGAATTAAAATGACACTACAACTCAATTTTTCATAGACTTTATAGTTAACCAAACATGCCTATACTATGTACAAATTATAATGCTGGGTACTGTGAGCTAGTAGGAAAAAAAATGCTCATAAATGGTTTCATATAGTTGGCAAGCAAATATCTTGAGATCCAAATGGCTGTAAAATTATGGTCAGCACAGACACTAACATTCATTATAAGGAGAAGGGAGGGGAAAATATGTCAGTGCCCTGGAATTTTAAGCGTTCAAATTAAAATCATAACCACAAGTATTTTGACATAGATTAGCCAATGTGGGGAATAGCACATCCCTGAGCCCAGCACTATTTACCATTGAAACACATACAGTAGATCATCAAGTTAAAAGAAGGCATAAAGGTAACAAAACACAAAAACTTTGGGGACAGAAAGGGAGAGACAAGGATCAGTATTTAAGTCTGCACAGACCCCCTGCAAAAGCAATTGATCTTTACATACTTTAATTCGGACAGAGAACATTCTGAAATGATTCATAAAGAAAATGATTGAGTTGCCTCTAAGGTAAAGTTATAAACCTTTGACCTGGGGAAAAGCCAAGGGTCCACATATTAATCTTTGAGGGGTTTGTGTATTTCAAGTAATAATAGACATTCCCTTCCTCAGGAAAATGACCAGACGTTAAGAATACTTTTATATTCTAACAATGAATATTAGAAGACCCTAGAAAAAATTACTAAGGAAAAGTGAAATTTCCATTTTCATATAGAAAGTTTTCTATGTTTAAAATAGAACATAAATCATGTATGAAAAAGAGAATTTCGGGGGGAAGGATTGCATTGGGAGTTATACCTGATGTAAATGACGAGTTGATGGGTGCAGCACGCCAACATGGCACAAGTATACATATGTAACAAACCTGCACGT